CTCTCCCCAGGGCAGCCTGCACACTGAACCCCTCATCTCCACCCCCACTCCAGATTTAAATGAAGAAAAACAAAAATTGAGTTAAGGAGCCAAGCAATGCCAGGTCCATTTTCTAGTGAATCTAGAAAGTCACAGGTAGGGAGCCTGGACCATTTAGTTCCTGCTGTAGCAACTCATGCATTTAGCTCCCTAAATCCTCAGTGTGTTGGTCAAGATAGAAACCATCACATTTGCATTCCCCGGGCTCCCCAAGCATCTACTGCCTGAGACAGGTGTTTATGATCTGAAAGGGTCTGTACCCCCTCACATACACACGCACACACACAATATAGAACAAGTATTTTGCCTGAATATGCCTTATATTTTAGCAACAATCTGTCAAATGGAGATGAAATATCACATTTTTGTAACCATTTGCACGCTTCCTTAATCATTCCAACTTTTCTGCTTTCTTTTTGGAAGGCAGGAAAGGAGGAATACATGGAGATTGTTTAACTGTGCAGTAATACCATTAATGTTGATCAATTGCATTGTACATAAAATGGTTGTAAATGAGGATATTGAAACAGTAGGTACAGCCTTTATTATACTAGCGACACAAAGCAGAGCATGAGTCAAGTAAGTTGATCTACTTTGTGAGTGGCACCTGGGGAAATGTGGCTTATATGACAGACACATACTGTAACTGAACCAGTCAAACTCAGTAATTTACTTCCATTGAGTCTTCACATGCTTGACCATGCTTGCCATGGCTACTTCTGCTGCTGTCATAGAAAAGAGTAACTGGTGAAATGACATACCTGCCTGACTTACCAGCTATCTAAGGTGAAGCCATCTAAACTCAACATTTTTAGCTTTTATTAGCCAAATTCAGCATGAATTTCATACAAGTGAACATCAAAAATATTTACAGTTTCAAAATATCTTTCCCTCTTTTTCTTTTTCCAATACCTTGTCTAAAAGATGTATTGATTGTACATTTATTTTTCATTAATGTGCTCTTTTTCTTCTAGTTACGTTTACAATAAATATTGCATAGGAAACTTCAGATACACACAGTGCAAAGTCATGACCATTCTGAAAGGGTATGTCTATACTACAAAGTTAATTCGTCAGTTCGAATTAACTTTAATAGCGGCCATACATACAAACTGCTTGTTCGAATTTAAATTGAACTAGCGGAGCGCTTAATTCGAACTAGGTAAACCTCATTCTACGAGGCGTAACGCCTAGTTCAAATTAAGTAGTTCGAATTAAGGACCGTGTAGCCACTTAATTCGAACTAGCTGGAGGCTAGCTCTTCCAAGGTTCCCCCTGGTGGCCACTCTGGGCCAAACCAGGAAAACTCCTCTCCTCTCCCCCAGCCCTGGGGCCCTTAAAGGGGTAGACTCTGGCCAGACGGCACTTGCCAGAGACAGCCCTGCCAGCAGTCTGTGCCCCTGACCCAGTGGCCCCAGGATGAGCCAGGCAACCAGTGACAGCCAGCCGTCCCCTGCCCAGTCCCCCAGCACCCAGGGGCAACCCAGGGGCCGTAGATGGCATGTGCCCTCCTAGACTAGTGCGGAGGTCATGGACCTCATTGAGATTTAGGGGCAGGCCCCCAACGTCCATCATCTCCGCACTAGGAGGAGGAACGTGCGGCCATCTACAGCCACATAGCGGCCACCATGGCCCGAAAGGGGGACACATCCAGGAGCAGGTGTACCTGAAAGTTAAACAGCTGTGGCAGGCGTACGCCAGGGCCACCAGGGGTGGCGCTGCAGCAGGGGCTGCCACCTGTCCCCACTTCCCCGTCCTCGACCAAGTCTTGGGGGCCGGAATGGTCCGCGCCAGCCCGGAAGGCAGGGAGCCAGGACCAGAGGGCCCTGACCCAGGCACACCAGAGGGGTCTCCGCCAGCTGTTCCGGCACCGGAGTCGGCAGGGTCGTCCAGGGAGGCCATACCGGGTAAGTAAGCTGAGGGGGGAGGTGGGGAGTGTTGGCCATGGATCACGCAGCCACCTGTGCACGTGCGAGCACGTGCCATGCCACCCTTGGGCAAGTGGCTCCAGCTGCGTGACACCCAGGGCTGTGGCCCAATAGGCACATGAATGTGTGAAGAGACCTGACACGCTCCCGACCCTGGTGCGGGACCCAGCAGGACGCCCTCCCTTCACACACACCCTCTACACAGAGGCAGGGGACATCTCCCCCCTGGCCTGCCCACACTATACACGGCATAGGGGCATGGGTGCAGTCTTGGGGAAGCTCCCAGTCCTGGGGAGAGACAGACATCTTGACCATGGCCTCTGTGCAAGCACAGCGGCTCTGACGGTACAGGGCACGGTCGCCCTCACATCATGGGGCGGGGGCTAGGCATCATCCACTGTGTCCCCAGGGAGAACTGACCGTTTCTCTTCTTTCTCTACAGCTGCACCAGCTGCTCGTGCAGGCCGCACCACCCCACCCGGGACATGCTCCCTCACCCGTGGCCTGCTCCGGACCACCACCACAAGGCAGGAGTATTGGGACCAGCACCTCGGGGCCCTGCGAGCCCTGCACCGCATTGTCGAGGCCTGGATGCGGGAAGACCTGCAGCTCCGATGGGAGCAGCTGGCTGAGGACCAAGCCAGAAACGCTAACCTGCAGGCCCTGCTGCAGAGCATGGTGCCCTGTGCCGGTCCTGCGCATGCTTACTGCCCCAGTGGCCCCAAAACATGAGCCAGCAAGACAGTGGCAGCCAGCCCTCCACTGCTCCCCAGAAGCAGTCTGCTAGCTCCCAGGAGCCTGCCAGGGCCCAGAGAAGGCGGGCGCCTTCCTGGTCCAGGGTGGAGATCATGGACCTTATTCAGGTTTGGAGGAGATGCCCCCAACGCCCAGGATCTCTGCACTAGACGGAGGAACGCGGCTGTCTATGGCAGGATAGCTGCCAGCCTGGCCACCAAAGGCCACATGAGAACCCAGGATCAGGTCTGCATGACAATCAAGTTGGTCCGGTGAGACCCTGAGCTTCCCCTCCTCCTTCTTCCCCTTGCATCTCCCTTCCAGTTCCCTCCTCCTAGTTTTCCCCCTCCCCTCTTCCACCACTCTCTCTCTTGCCCTCTCCCGCCTCCTTTCCCCCGTCTCCCCACAGTTTCATTCCCTCTCCCCAGTTGTGTTGAATAAAGAGTTGTTATTTTTAAAAATACGTGTCTTTTCTTTGACATCAGGAAGGGGGGGCTAGGGAAGGGTAAATGGAAGGATGAGAGGGAGGAATAGGGCATAATCCCCCCAGTGGGGTAGACCGGGGAGACTGTTAGCGCTCCTCTGGGTGGAAGCTGTCCCACAGGGCCCCCTGGATCCTGACATCCCCTCGATGGTCCTCCCGGATGGCAGCCTGCAGACAGTGCAGCCAGGCTGCCGACAACGTGTCCACGAGATGCAGCGGAGTCCCATGGGGCAGATCTGGTTCCATGTTGCAGTGCCGTGGTGTCCCGAATGAGGGCAAGCAGAGCACTCCGAGACACAAATGCTTTGCTGTCCCTCAGCGAGGTAGACCAGCGAGCAGAAAAACCTGAGAAATTTCTGTCTGAGATGGGGGGGTCGGGTGCCTTTAAGCACAGCCCTCAGCTAGCCTGAGGCAGCAGCTCCACACTCTAAGTCCTAATCTGATGCCCTGCCGGCACTGGTTCCAGCCATCCTTAACTTCGGTTCAGGGTCCACTCAGTGTGGACATGCTATTTCAAATTAGCAAAATGCTAATTCGAATTAGTTTTTAGGTCTAGATGCACTAATTCGAATTAGCTTAGTTCGAATTAACTAATTCAAATTAAGTTAGTTTGAATTAGTGCTGTAGTGTAGACATACCCAAAGAGATTAGAAGTGATGTGCTTTAGTCTGAGACCTCTAGTCTATGACCAGGAATCTTAGCATTTGGTTTCCACTGCACTTGCTTCCATACTCCTCCTCATCAGTGTCAATGTAAGTCCCTTTAATGTGCTGAACGGAGAAGCACTGGGATTACTATGCGTCATGGCAACACATGTTTCTTGCCCACCTAGTATTTGCTTAACTAATTAATCAACATCAAACACGCGACATGCAATTGAAAGCAGCCCCTGAGATTTCACTAGTTCTTCATTTTACCATCCAGCTTCTTCAGGGATACATGATATGGGTGGAGGAGATAGCAGAAACAATTTATATGTAAAGCACCCCCGTGTGGTTTGTAATAAGGTACTTCTGGAGTCTGGAATTCTGCAGAGAATACTGGAAAATCTGAGTTACAGCTTTGAAAGATTGGCAGAAAGTTCTGCCGGGTCAGTGTTATATGACTGCAATAATACATACACTGTAGCAGGGGCTGAGCGGCTTTGATGACTCTTAAACAATAGATCCATTTCTAATTATATGCTGGCACATGTCCTTCCTCTACAGCCATCTACAAAGGGACACCTTATTGATACCAGAGAGGATATGAAAAAAGTGGGAAGACCATGAAGTTTCTTTACACCTTATTTTCTCATCTCTGGCTTTAGCATTCTGAGTTTATACTGCATCCCCTCCCACTGTGCTCACTAAAGCATGGCAGGCTTCATTGAGCAGCTTTATCATCATACATTAACCTTAACAAGGCAGAACAATCGTCTCTCAAACAAGGGTAATTAAGCTTTCATACTCTTGGCCTTCCCAAGGTTTTATTGAGCAGAAATTTTCAGCACTCCATAAACACAGTAAGTCGGCATTTTCCAAAGACTTCTGCAGCCAAATCAAGAAATGCAACTTCAGTCAGCTTTAAACCCAAATGCCTAAAATGGGGCCAAATGCTCAATGCAGGTGCTTGTGCAGAGCTTCCTCTGAAGTCAGAAGGAGCTGCGAGTAAGCATCCAAGGACAGAATTTAATCCAAGCAGAGTTACTATATTAAAATATATTTGACTTTCTATTTCAGTACCTCTGAGGTCCTAGTATAAAAGCCATGTGCGACAAAATTTGTCTTGTGAAAATATTGCTTGATCTAAATTGTTTTCTCTTTATTCTCTAGATGATGCATATTTACTGCAGGGACTTAACATTGAGGAACTTTATCCAGAGACCTCTAGTTTCATTACATATGATGGGTCAATGACCATTCCACCCTGCTATGAAACAGCAAGTTGGATAATAATGAACAAACCCGTCTACATAACAAGGATGCAGGTAAACGAAAATTAATAGAATGCATCTAGTAAATGTCATCAGAAGAACAAGCATTTTAAATGTATGTTTGTGGCATCATACTTGAAATTAAGTTCATCACTTTGGGCTAATGCAAGACTCAATCTTAAACATGTTTATTTTATAAGTTGTGCACAAGGGGGTGTTAGAATAACTAAAAAGTACCCAAGTGCTGAAGCATAAATGGGACTGTTCCATGGTAGGTGAGAGAAGAGTGAGGATTGTGGTCTCCTAAAGTACGTTTACACTGCATGCTTATTTCAAAATAAACTCTTCTGGAATAGTTATTCTGAAATAGCTTGTTTCCGAATAGCATGTCTACACTGTAGGGAAGCCTCAAAATTAGTCCAAGGCAGGCTTCTCTAATGTAGACGTGCTATCTCGATTTAGAGCCCCAGGAGGCACTGGGGAGGAATGGTTCTGGTGAGGGGCTTTTTTGAAACACGCGCCTTATTTCAAAATAGCTGTTTTGGAATAGGTGTTATTCCTCGTAGAATGAGGTTTACAGATTTCGGAATAAGCTATTATTTCGAAATTATTTCAAAATAACAGAGTGGTTGTGTAGACACTCACATATTTATTTCAAAATAATATTAGCTATCTCAAAATAACAGTGCAGAATAGATGCATCCCTAGGGAAATGGGGCAGCCAGTTGATGCAATGGGACTGTAGCTAGGACAAAGAGCCTCTGGCGAAGGCTCCAGTCTGCGTTTTCTGGTGCAGGAAAAGGTGGCAGGATTGATGCCAGCACATTTGTGTCAAAAAATGTAGAAGCCAGGCCATTGGTTCCAGGTGATAGATTGAAAACTCCTGTTAGATCACAACAGTGTAGAGTCAGTAGTGAGTAGAGGCTAGCTTTATTCTGTTGTGTCTGCCTTCTTGGGACCACATTGGTATAAAATCCACAAGGACAGGGTCGTGGCAGCAGAGTTCAGTTGCTTTCTACTCCTACTGAGAGACCCACAGACAGCAGATCCTCAAGCGTGGATTCCTGGGAAATCAGAGCAAAGGTCAATGGGTGGCACCATCTTGCAGCAGGCTGTGGCACTACCAGTGCACCTGCCTCACTTTCCCTTCTGAGGGAGCAAAAGAAGCCCCACTTCAGTCTCTTTTGCTTAAATAATACTCCTCTCTGGGGTTGGTTGATTATCATAGCACAGTTCTAATAGCTTGTAAGAGAAGTCCCAATACATAGTCCAGTTCAGATGG